GATCCCATGTGGGTTGCAGCATTCCGTCTCTGGTGGTGTTGCAGAAGATCTCATGGTTGTAGTACTTTCCTCTGGTGGTGTTGTAGAGGATCCTGTGGTTATAGCATTCTCTCTGGTGGTGTTGTAGATGATCCTGTGTAGTACTCTCTCTGGTGGTGTTGTAGGGGATCTCATGGTTGTAGTACCCTCTCTGGTGGTAAGCAGGAGGATCTCATGGGTGTAGTATTCTCTCTGGTGGTGCTAGAGGATCACATGTGGTTGTAGTACTCTCTGGTGTGTAAGCAGTAGAGGATCCCACGGTTGTGCATTCTGTCTCTGGTGTGTTGTAGAAGATCTCATGGTTGTAGCACTTTCTCTGGTGGTGTTGTAGAGGATCCTCATGTGGTTATAGTACTTCTCTGGTGGTGTTGTAGAGGATCACATGTTGTAGTACTTCCCTCTCTGGTGGTGCTAGTAGAGGATCCCATGTGGTTGTAGTATCTCCTCTCTCTGGTAGGGGCAAGCAGAGGATCCTCATGGTTGTAGTACCTCTCCGTGGTGTTGAAGGAGGATCTCATGGTGGTTGTAGTACTCTATCTCTGGTGGTGTTGAAGAGATCTCATGTGGTTGTAGTACTTCTTTCTCTGGTGTGTTGAAGAGGATCTCATGTGGTTGTAGTACTTCCCTCTGCTGTGTTGGTAGAGGATCTCATGGTTGTAGTACTTCCTCTTCCTCTGGTGGTGTTGTAGAGGATCACATGGTTGTAGTACTTCCATCCTGGTGTGTTGTAGAGGATCTCATGTGGTTGGTAGTACTTCCATCTCTGGTGGTGTTAGAGATCTCATGTGGTTGTGTAGTAGTACTTCCTCTCTCTGGTGGTGTTGTAGAGGATCCTCATGTGGTTGTAGCATTTCCTTCCTCTGGTGGTGTTGTAGAGGATCTCTGCTGTGGTTGCAGTACTTCCTTCTCTGGTGGTGTTGCAGAGATCCCATGTGGTTGTAGTACTTCCTCTCTGATGGTGTTGTAGAGGATCTCATGTGGCTAAAGCATTTCCATCTCTGGTGGCGTTATAGAGAGGATCTCATGTGGTTGTAGTACTTCCTCCTGGTGGTGCTAGAGGACCCTGTGGCTGTAGTAGTTCCATCTCTGGTGGTACAGTAGAGGATCTCATGGTTGTAGTATTCTCTGGTGGTGTTGTAGATGTATCCTTATGTGGTTGTGCAGCATGTCCCCTGGTGGTGTTATGAGGATCTCATGGTTGTGTAGTACTTCCTCTCTGGTGGTGTTGTAGAGGATCCTCATGGCTGTAGTACTCTCTCTGGTGGTGGATGGAGGATCTCATGGTTGTAGCATTTCCTCTCTGGTGGTGTTGTAGGAGGATCTCATGGGTGTAGTACGTCCCTCTGGTGGTAAGCAGTAGAGATCTCATGTGGTTGTAGTACGTCCTCTCTGGTGGTGTTGTAGAGGATCTCATGTGGTTGTAGCACTTCCTCTGGTGGTGTTGTATGATCTCTGTGGTTGTAGTAGTACTTCCGTCTCTGGTGGTGTTGTAGATGATCTCGCGGTTGTAGTATTTTCCTGGTGGTGTTGTGTAGGAGATCTCATGGTTGTAGTACTTCCTCTCTTGGTGGTGTTAGAGGATCTCATGGTTGTAGTACTTCCCTCTCTGGTGGTGCTGTAGAGGATCCTGGCATGTGGTTGGAAGGCCACGTCCCTCTGGTGGTGTTGTAGAGAGATCTCATGGTTGTAGTAATACGTCCTTCCCTGGTGGTGCTGTAGAGATCTCATGTGGTTGCAGCACTTCTCTGTTGGTGCTGTAGCGATCTCATGGTGGTTGGGTAGTACTTCCTGTCTCTGGTGGTGCTGGTAGAGGATCCTCATGGTTGTAGCATTCTCTCTGTGTGTGCTAGTAGAGGATCCTGTGGTTGCAGTACTCTCTCTGGTGGTGTGTTGTAGATGATCCTATGTGGTTGAAGCACGTCCTCTGGTGGTGCTGTAGAGATCTCTTATGCTGTAGTACGTCCCTCTGGTGGTATGCTGTAGAGGATCCTGTGGTTGTAGCACTTCCTCTCTGGGTGGTAAGTAAAAAGATCTCATGTGGTTGTGCAGGTACTTCCGTTCCTGGTGGTGTCAGTAGAGGACCCATGGTTGTAGTATTCTTCTCTGGTGGTAAGCGAGAGGATCTCATGTGGTTGGGTAGCATTCTCTCTGGTGGTGCTAGAGGATCTCAGTGTGGTTGTAGTACTCTCTCTGGTGGTGTTGTAGAGGATCTCATGTGGTGTAGTACTCTTTCCTCTGGTGGTGTTGTAGAGGATCACATGTGGCTAGCACTTCCTTTCTCTGGTGGTGTTGTGGTGAGGATCTCATGGTTGCAGTACTTCCTCTCTGTAAAGGTAGAGGATCTCGCGTGGTTAGTACTTCCTCTGGTGGTGTGTTGTAGAGGACTGCGGGCGGTAGTACTGGTGGTGGTGTTGTGGTATGATACATGTGGTTGTAGTACTTCCTTCTCTGTGGTGCTGGGTAGAGGATCATGGTTGTAGTACTTCCTTCCTGGTGGTGTTGTAGAGGATCTCATGTGGTTGTAGTACTTCCTTCTCTGGTGGTGTTGTAGAGATCTCATGTGGTTGTAGCACTTCTCTCTGGTGGTGTTGCAGAGGATCTCATGTGGTTGTAGTACTTCCTTCCTCTGGTGGTGTCAGAGGATCTCATGGTTGTAGCATCTCCTCTGGTGGTGTTGTAGTGGACCCCGCGTGGTTGTGGTACTTCTTCTGGTGGTGTTGTAGATATCCCGCGTGGTTGTAGCATTCTCTCTGGTGGTGTTGTAGAGGATCTCTATGGTTGTAGCATTTCCTCTCTGGTGGTGGGATGAGGATCTCATGTGGTTGTAGTACTTCCTCTCTGTGGTGTTGTAGAGGATCCTATGTGGTTGTAGCATTTCCTCTGGTGGTGCTAGAGGATCCTATGTGGTTGTAGTACTTTCTCTCCGGTGGTGTTATAGAGATCTCATGGTTGTAGTATCTGTGGTGTTATAGAGGATCCTATGTGGTTGTAGTACTTCCTTCTGTGGTGTTGTAGAGGATCCTCATGGTTGTGGCATTCTCTCTCCGGTGGTGCTAGAGGATCTCATGTGGTTGTAGTACTTCCTTCTCTGGTGTTGTAGATGATCTCATGTGGTTGTAGTACTTCCTTCTCTGGTGGTAAGCAGAGGATCCTGCTATGGTTGTAATACTCTCTCTGTGGTGTTGTGTGAGGATCCTCATGTACGGTGCACTTCCTTCTCTGGTGGTGTTGTAGAGGATCTCATATGGTTGTACACTTCCTCTCTGGTGGTGTTGTAGAGATCTCATAAGTGGTTGCAGCACTTCCTCTCTGTGGTGTTGTTGAGGATCCTATGGTTGTAGTACTTTCTTCTCCGGTGGTGTTAGAGATCCTGGGCGTGGTTGTAGTACTTCCTCTCTGGTGGTGTTGTAGAGATCCTGTGGTTGTAGTACTTCCTCTCTGGTGGTGATGTAGAGGACCCCTATGAAGGTGTAGTACTTCCTCTCTCTGGTGGTGGTGTGTTGTAGAGATCCTCATGTGGGGTGTGTAGCATGTCCTCTCTGGTGGTGCTGTAGGAGTGATCTCATGTGGTTGTAGTACGTCCCCTGGTGGTGTTGTAGAGGATCTCATGTGGTTGTAGCACTTCCTCTCTGGGTGGCAAGCAAAGGACCTGCATGTAGTACTTCCGTCTCTGGTATGTTGTAGAGATCCTCATGTGTCGTAGTACTCCTTCTCTGTGTGCTGGTAGAGGATCTCATGGTTGTAGTACTTCCTCTCTGGTGGTAAGCAGAGGATCATGTGGTTGTAGTACTTCCTTCTGTATAGAGATCATGTGGTTGTAGTACTTCCACTGGTGTGTGGTGCTGTAGAGGATCTCATGGTTGTAGCATTTTCTCTGGTGTGGGTGTTGTAGAGGATCCTATGTGGTTGTGCACTTCCTCTCTCAGTGGTGTTGTGATGACCATGGTTGTAGTACTCTCTGCAGTAGAGGATCACATGTGGTTGTGCACTTCTCTGGTGTGTTGTAGAGGATCACATGTGTAGTGCCTTCTCTTCTTGGTGGTGGAAGCAGAAGAGGGGATCTCTCATGTGTGGGTTGTAGTACGTCCTCTGGTAAGCAGAGGATCTCATGGTTGTAGCATTCTGCAAAAAGGTAGAGATCTCATGTGGTTGTAGTACTTCTCTGGTGGTGTTGTAGAGTGATTCCGGCGGTTGTAGTACTTCCACCTGGTGGTGTTGAAGAGGATCTCATGCGTTGTGCACTTCCTACCTGGTGGTAAGCAGAAGATCTCATGGTTGTAGCACTCTCCTCTGCAGTTGAAGAGGATCCCTATGTGGTTGAGCATTCCCTCTCTGGTGGTGCTGTAGAGGATCCGTGGTTGTAGTGCACTTCCGTCTCTGGTGGTGTTGTAGAGGATCCTGCGTGCTGTAGCATTCCTCTCTCTCTGGTGGTGTTGTAGAGGACCCATGTGGTTGTGTGCATTCCCTCTGGTGGTGTTGTAAAGGATCCCTCATGTGGCTGTAGTACTTCCTCTGCATGTTGCAGAGCATTTCATGTGGTTGTAGTAC